ACGGCCAAATTCAAACATAATTTGTAAGAGGACAGGATGAGTATATATTTGTGTAATGTAATATCTCAAAAGAATGTTTTCCATTTATAAATAAATAAATATTACTTTTATTATTCTTATAAGTCATACACACAGAAAATCACACTAATGTGATATATATTAATGAAAAAAATCCACAGGGGTTCTGAGGTGATGCGAACCCGCAACCAAGGCATTGCCTGCCACTTACTCTACCACTGTTCCACCACTGACTTGTGAACGTCATACGTCCAGATTTGTACTGAAATCACAGGATGTCTAGAGGACCCTCCTGAAGCCAGTCTAAGGTTTATGTATGATCCCCCAAGCACTTGGGTGAAGGCAAAGTTTTTATTTATATATACATTGTTCTTACATTCTTGTAAAGCCACTAGCATGCATAGCATTTCAGGCAAGTCCTTAGTCTTAATTTTCCATGGAATGTGACCCACCAAATCATTTATCAACCGGGTACCCATCCACTGCTGGGTGAACAAATGCGTACAGCTAAGGATTTGTGTCTAGTCAATCTTCCCCAGCCAGGATACGAACCCAGGTCAAAGTGCTCGCAAAGCATGGGGCGAGTGTCTTACCACTTCGCCACGGGGCCACGGTTGAAAGTACAGTACATTAATTCAACACTGTACACTCTAACTTCAGATACACACTCAAAATCACACTAATGTGATATACTGTATGTATATCAATAAGAAAATCCACTGGGGGCTCTGAGGTGATGCAGACCTCAATTACAGCATTAAATGAATGGAAAAGAAGTGATACTAGTATTCAGAATTCCTGTATACTGTATGTACACTCATATTTAAAATGATCATATCAAGCCTGACTACAATACAGTTACATTACAGAATTTTAAGTACACTTTATGCCTGTCAATATGTTAAAATATTATATTGTAGAATGTCCCATACTGACTGACTTTCGCCCTCCTGGGCTAAGGTATGCTGAACTCTGCAATTACTATATGAGTACTGGAACACTTGATGATATATTGGACTTGTATCCAAGATTGACCATGTAATATATCAATCATACATTGTATGTATGTGATGTAACTATATAACCTGAGCTTGTAAAACCACCTTCATCACCTTCAGTGATTAAGTGCTTAATTGCACACTAGTTTCTTTATCAGCTACCTCACCCTGTCAGAGTAAAAGAGACAAATGTATGTGAATGCATCTGTGTGTGTATATATATGTATGTATATGTGTGTGTGTGTATGTATATGTATGGGTATAAAGTATATATGGAAGCTGATCAGAATTACATTTCACCTTTGTGAATGTACATTAATTAATGACACATCGAACACTTTATGTAGGGCATACGTAAATCTGTGTATCTATGTATTTACGTATGTAGGTTAGCTTAGCATTTTAAAAGCACCGAATCACCTTCTGTGGTTGATTGTTCAATAAACCCTTGAACTATATGTTTAACACATCTCTAACCCTGTCCATGGAGGACAGAAGAAAATGTATATATGCTGGTTAGCATTGTAAATGTGTGGCCACGTCTGTGGTAGAAAAATAATAATAAAAAAAAAAAAATGTTAAAATCTCACAGCACACTAGTAGTGATTCCGTAACACACTGGGCATGGAAGTATGTATTCCCTTGTAACACTGAGCACAACAATATGGTTCTTCACATAACACACTCGACATGGAAATATGTTTTTTTCCTTTAACGTGTTAGGCCTGACAATACATTTATCATAATGTGACAAGTGCAGAGATAGTCAGGGGCCAGATTCACGAAAGCACTTACGAACCTGTACATCTTTTGTCAATCTTTGGCGGCTTTGTTTACAATTATTAAACAGTTAATAAGCTCCGAAGCACCAGGAGGCTGTTTTATAACAATAACAACAGTTGATTGGGAAGTTTTCATGCTTGTAAACTGTTTAATAAATGTAACCAAAGCCGTCAGAGATTGAGGAAAGATGTAAACGTTCGTAAGTGCTTGCGTAAGTGTTTTCGTGAATCTGGCCCCAGGTCTATATTTATAAATCTGGACCTCCATATAATGGATACTGATGAAGTTCACTAATCCAGACTATATGGGAAGGACCCCCGTCCGGATGGGCCTGTCATCTGGATCAAAGGATGTTTTACCGGGGAAGTCCAAAAATGATTATTTCCAAAAAATTTTGTTCCTCAACCAACATAATTTGAATTGCCACATATAATTATAAAATATTCGAGTACAGTGGCCTCTCCATTTACAAATTTAATCCATTCCCAGAGACGGGTTGTAACTCAAAAATTTGTAACTGGAAATGAATTTTCCCATAAGAAATAATGTAAATTGAATTAATTCATTCCACACTCCTAAACAATATTAACTTCAAAATACATTTCATACATAATACACATTTCGTACTATAGTATTTACAAGTTATAGCTTACTTTTATTGATGACTCTAGTTAGCGTATGGAAGACTAAGGACGGGGGGAGGAGGAGGAGGAGGGGCAGTGTTACTATTTGGAAGGGGAAGTCCCCTTCCATTATAACATCAGGCAGTAATGAATTCTTTGGGGAACTCTCTCTCTCCCCTAGGTTCTGCTTGCATACCACTAGGACCTGGTTGTGGCTCACTGCTTGTTATTCTCACTAAGAACCTTACCACTGGCTTTCTTGGGACCCATAGCATGGTATATAATGACTTTCCTGTGGAGAGCCCCTTCGGCTCCCTGGAGCTATACTGAGCAGATGTATATATATTAGACCGTGGCAACAGTCACTCGAAGGAGTTCTTGGTCTATCGGGGACCAGAGCCAAAACCTGGCCCCCTCAAGAGAGGCACGAGGAGCACTTCCCTAAACTTCAAGAAATAAGCAAACAAGCAAACGTCATACACCGCCACCGCGCCGCTTGTCTGCACAGCCCTCCCCTACCCAGGAGGGGGAGGGGGTGCCCTGAACCCTCCGTGCTGGCTACTCACACCTGCAGTTTGTAGACTGATGTGCTCTGGGGCTGTAAACTCTGGCCTCGATTTTTTGGCAGATTTTGTGTCTTCGTGGCGTTTCCTGCTCCTTGTTTTCTTGAGGTTATCTTGAAATGATTTCGGGGCTTTTTAGTGTCCCCGCGGCCCGGTCCTCGATCAGGCCTCCACCCCCAGGAAGCAGCCCGTGACAGCTGACTAACACCCAGGTACATATTTTACTGCTAGGTAACAGGGGCATAGGGGTGAAAGAAACTCTGCTAATTGTTTCTCGCCGGCGCTTGGGATCGAACCCAGGACCACAGGATCACAAGTCCAGCGTGCTGTCCGCTCGGCCGACCGGCTTGTGGTGCAGTGGTCAGGCGTAACTACAGTGTACTGGGGCTACATGCACTTGGGGCTACCTTCCCTACGGGCCCCCTGTAAGTATAGAGGAACCTTGGGTGACGAGCTGCCCCATCTTCGAGCATTTCAGGTAATGAGAAAGCCACGTGGTGCTTCCTAGCGTTCCCGCTGATTCTCGCAAATTCTCGGACGCCTCCGACGACAGTGTTGTTGTTTTATCCCCCAGGATAGGCATCCCTCTGCTTATCCTTATCAGATGGATGGATAAGGCATTTGCAGTCATATAAAGATAGACTATGATGAAAGATATGAGTATGATTCATTATTGTACAGTTTAGTAGTACTGTATCTAACAATGAAATATTTTTTATTTATATTATTAAAAAAGTGCATTACATAAATGCCTCCTGAAGGCATCACCTCTTGCAAAGAATCCAACTCTGCAACGAACTGGGGTTGGTCCCATATAGTTCGTCGAATCGAGGTTGCACTGTATTGATATATTTTTTAATAATACAGTAGTGTGTGCGGAAATTCAAATTATGTTGGTTGTGGTGCAAAAAATTGTAAATATGTTTATGTTTGTACTTCTGAATTTTGTAAGAATTTTGCTTATCTGGATGTCCGGCTTATCTGGTGGGGGTGGGGGGGGGGATTCCTTTCCATATAGTCTAGATAAGTAAGCTCATACAGTACTTGTAAAGTAACTTTATAGTTGGGTAAGATATAGATTCATTAAGCTGATTAATTAAAAGCACATTTTATATTTTTATTTTCACATATAAAATATATGCAGTATGGATTAACATCTTTCCGTTCTAATGTGCATAGAACTATATTTCTGTATTGTTAAGTACAATAAATTATTCCAATTAGAGAATAATCAAGACTACCAATCTTTAACTCTACCAAAGTAAGTTAACATTTATGTTAGTGCAGTATTAATTATTTCTATGAATATGCTGCAATAACTATCTAAATCTGTATGTGTTGAAGAACAAATTAAATTGGTTGTGGTAAAAAAAAACTGAATTTGTTTATTTTTGAGTGCAATAAGTATTATGGTAAGTACTGCACTGTACATTGGGCAAGTTGGATCTCAGCATAACTTGGATGGGGTCTGCCCTATATGATATGAATTAGTGAGCGAATGCTGTATTTGTTGCCAAGCACAGCAACACATGGGCAGCATAAAGTCACAGTTTCTTCTCACTCCTCACCTTGACCCTTAGCATGCGGCTATTAAAACCATTCCATTCTGTTTGTACACAAACACAAAATAATAATTTTAGAAAATTATACATTTTCATGCAAAAAATGAAAGGGCAATCATTAGCCAGAATAGGGACTTCATGTGCCATACTTAGTGGCCTTTTGGATCATTGAAACACCTCAACCCCCCTTTTGCCCCTATTCCACATTATGGCGTCATTTATAAGGGGTGCAAGGATTACCTTGAGGTTGGCTCTCGTGGTGGTCTGGTCAACCAGACTGTTAGACACTGCAGCTTGCAGTCTAATGTATGAAACACAGCCTGGTTGATCAGGTATCCCTTGAAGGTGATTTATCACTTGTCACATATTGCTATTTTAACACATTCAGGTGTAATAATCATACTAACACAAAATGATAGAACACATATATTAAAAGAGCATCTTCACTTGCAGTTGTACCTCGTGCAGGAGAGGCAAGACGGTTCAGCTCCCAGCTGTATCGTAAGTATCTCGTACTTAGCTTGCGGCTTTTTAAGAGCTGTACTTGTAGTTCATATGTTTTGCATTATGTAGACAACAATGTTGTAATATTAGGGGTATAAGTAAGCTCAGTATTCTGCACATACTATTAAAACATTGTTTTTCTGAGCTACAACACACTGTTACTTCCTAAGACATGATCCTACTGGTCCCATGGACTGCAACTACAATTCACGGCAAGTCGACATTCTCTACCGAACAACAGAAGATGTCTTTCCAAATACCTATGTAGAGGATTTATTTAACCTGGAATCACTTTCACAAGGTTCATTCAGATAAACTCTAAAGCCCTTCGATGGACACTATTTTTTGTTTTTTTTTTTTTGCACCATACCTACTGTAAGCGCACACAAATTTTAATTTCTTGTTGCTCTGGCTGTATGTCACATCCTGGTCCTGACTTTGACTACATCGACACTAAAATGAGATCCCCCTGATTCAATCCTACTCACATTTGTCCTAACTGGTGTCCAAGTCAGCATTGGACAAGCAGAAACCAGCATTCAGTCAGTGACTTGTGTTTATGCTTAGAAATTCTTGTTTCATTGTGCTTATGGTATAACTGAATATAACCATTGTGCTTGTGGTATAACTGAATATAACCATTGGCTTATGGTATAACTGAATACAACCATTGTGCTTGTGGTATAATAGAATATAATCATTGGCTGTGGTAGAAGTGAATGCTACTTGTGTGTGTGTGTATATATACAGGGCCATTGTATCTCTTGATAGTGTAATGGGGGGTGGGGGGATAGAAAATGAATTAAATGGATGGAAAGGAGAATGTAAAGAAGAGGAGGAGTCAATGAGGAGGAGCTAAAGAGGATTTTTTTTTATGCTAAAGAGGAATGTGGGAGGGTGAGACAGGGGAAGAAGCGGGTAGAAGGAAGGTGGGATGAGCTATTTAGTGGAAAAGGCAGAGTTGAGATAGATTTAGAGATGAAAAGAAAAGTTATAAGATAGTATTGGGGGATAAAATGAAAGGATTATGGAAAGGGAAGAGTGTAGAGCTGCCACCGTCCATTTAAATATATTTTCTGTAGGGAGTCCCTTCAGCTTCCTGGAGCTATCGGATATACGTTATTAGTCTGGGGCTTCAGTCAATTGAGTTCTACCTACCGGGGGACCATGAGCCAGAACCTGGCTACCTCGGAGAGGCGCAGGGAGCAATGGCCTCGAGGAAAACTCCCCTTGTATTTGCGGGTTATCTCGTATCTGCATCGACTGGGTTAGGCACCCAGAAAGATTGGCATCTCACTACAAACCCTACTTGGTAGGAAATAGCTAAAAAAAAAAAAAAAGACCTAACAGAGAAATAGAGCTCCCCAAAGAAAAGAAAACAAGCAAACGTTTATTATCGCCACTGCACCGCTTGTCTGCACAGCTCCCCCCCCCCTCCCCAAAGAGGGAGGGGCGCCCCGGACCCCCGCACTGGCTGCCCACACCTTCAGTTCGTAGGCTGAAGCGCTCTGGGCGGCTGTCAACTCTGGCCTCGGTTTCCTACTGGATTTTGTGCTCTTGTGATGTTTTACTTGCTTTTGTGATGCACTGGCCAGGAGTAACTTAGTGTAATGGGGCTGCATGTGCTTAGGGCTGCCTTCCCTAGTGTCCTGTAAGTACTACCCTTGGGTTCTAGGGTTGCCTTCCCTAGAATCTTCAGTCTTGCACTTCTGTTGCAGATCCTGCTGTTCGGCATTTACCCTGCCCTTGGGGCTAGCTGGGGTTTTGTGGCCTTTGTTTCGCCCTGGGTTGGAGGTGGTGTTTTTGCTGGTTGGGGCGCATCGGTGCTGTGCAGTACACATACCTATAGTGGTGGCCATGTTTCCTGTTCTTCCTGTGGTTGTGGTACTTTTGCAGGGGGGTTTTCTTTTGTTTTTTGTTTTAGCATGGAGGAGGTCTGCCTGGTTTGACTATTCAGTCTATTTAAGATATTGTTGGTGGCCTTCCTCTAGGCTTCCGTGCTTGTACAGTGAGGGTTATTTCGGGACGCGAGTTTGTTGATACGCGTACAGGCCGACCTAGCGCGTGGTGGTTCGGCGATCGTCGTCCCTCCGCCCCGCCGCCTCTCAGTTTACCATTGTCTCGCGCTCAGTGACTACCCCCACATCAATTCTTCTCGCGGATTTTCAGTGTTTTGTTTGATTTTTGGTGATTTGTCTATACAATTTGTTATTATATATCTCACCATGGGTCCCAAGAAAGCCAGTGGTAAGGATAAAGGCCAGAAAGCTCATGTGAGGATGACAATAGAGGAGAAACAAGAGATCATTCGGAAGCATGAGAACGGTACACGTGTTGTTGAACTTTGTAGGCAGTACAACAAAGCCACATCAACAATATGCACTATACTTAAGAAGAAAAATAAGATTATGGGTGCTAAAGTGGCAAAAGGAGTAAGAACATTAACGGCACAAAGACCACAAATACTTGAAGAAGTGGAAAAGTTGTTATTAATTTGGATACACGACAAGGAGTTGAGGGGTGATAGTGTTTCGGAGGCCATTATTTGTGAGAAAGCCAGGGTGTTGCACGAAGACCTTCTAAAGAATACCCCTGCAATGAGTGATGCAGATAAGAAAGAGTTTAAGGCAAGCAGGGGCTGGTTTGAAAAATTTAGAAAGAGAAGTGGTATCCATAGTGTTACAAGGCATGGGGTTATGTGATGTGATTATGGAAGGGGACTCCCCTTCCAAACAGTAACTCCTCTCCTCCTCCCTCCTCCATACCTGATCAACCAGGCTGTGACTCATACGTCAGGCTGCGAGCAGCCGCGTCTAACAGCCTGGTTGATCAGTCCAGCAACCAGGAGGCCTGGTCGACGACCGGGCCGCGGGGACACTAAGCCCCGGAAGCACCTCAAGGTAGCCTCAAGGTAGGTAGCCCCCCTCCTCACCATCTTCCATACGCCTACAGCACTCGACAGCAAGGTAAGTAATAACTGGAACACAGTTTTGTAGGTTTATTTAGATGAATTAGGTAAATTAGGTATAAAAATTTAGTTTGATGTGGGGTTTTTGGGGTAGTCAGGAACGGATTAATTCATTTCCCTTTATTTCTTATGGGGAAATTAACTTCGGAATGCGAGTTTTCGGAAGGCGAGGCGTCTCCAGGAACGGATTAAACTCGTATTCTGAGGTATGCCTGTATACTGATGGTAATTCTATAGGCATCTTGAGCCCAGCTGTTTCCATCTACAATATTGAATAGTAACCTGAATTTATACATTATAAATTAACAATACGGAAGGTTTTGATCACCCTCAGGCCGCGTGACCTTGACCCAGGGTGAGTCATAGATGGACTGACGAACTAGTCCCTCTCTAATTGGCGTTACTGTCTCTTTGATAGCAACGATCATTAATATTTACTCTACATTCATGTTAACCTAACCTAAGACCTTAAACCAGATTGTTTATTACTCCAATTACTGTATTTATTGAATTATTCATCACTGTTGAATTTATACAAGTGAAACGACGCCATTTTGTTTTCTAACCTTGCTATTCCCTTAACCCTTAGTATTTATACGCCATGAGTAACATGTCCCACCATGCACATGGTGTATATATATGACATAGGGTGCAAGGCACGATTCAAATGTCCTGCGGTGTAAAGGGGTCACCTATATCGTAGCCAGGGGGAGATTGTAAACAGATGTCATCTTGAAAAATAAATCTAGTGCAGGTATCCTTTGTCTCCCAGGCCTTAGTTACTGGCCAGACACCATGGCGAGCACTTCACGACCCAGCGTCCGACCTCGCTTACCGCGCCGCGCAGTCATTGACCAACCTTGAGGTTACCTTGAGGTTACCTTGAGGTTACCTTGAGGTGCTTCCGGGGCTTAGCGTCCCCACAGCCCGGTCGTCAACCAGGCCTCCTGGTTGTTGGACTGGTCAACCAGGCTGTTGGACGCGGCTGCTCTCAGCCTGACGTACGAATCACAGCCTGGTTGATCAGGTATCCTTTGGAGGTGCTTATCCAGTTTTCTCTTGAACACTGAGAGGGGTCGGCCAGTTATGTCCCTTATGTGTAGTGGAAGCGTGTTGAACCGTCTCAGGCCTCTGATGTTGATAGAGTTCTCTCTCAGAGTACCTGTTGCACCTCTGCTTTTCAACTGGGGTATTCTGCACATCCTGCCATGCCTTCTGGTCTCATGTGATGTTATTTCTGTGTGCAGGTTTGGGACCAGCCCCTCTAACATTTTCCTGGCTTGGAGGCTTCCGGGGCTGGGGAGGAGTTGACCTGGGGACTTGAACACTCTTTGATTGTGCTTGGGTTTTTGGTGCCCTCATTGCAGGGTTTGTTGTTGCAGGGGGAGAGGTTTTCTTACCCCCCTCTTTCCTGTACGAGTACAATTTGGGGGTCAGCTCCTCCCTAGGTTTGGTTCCAGGTTCCCTTGGGTTCCTCGGCTCCTTCTTTCCGGAGATTTTCTGCCTCTCGCGTCCCGTCTAAGGAGGTTCAGGAGGCTCTTGTGGCTTACCTCCTGCGAGACCCGGATTTTGCCTCTGTGATGGTCCTGTCCTCATTTGAGTTTGATTCCTCTTCGGTAGGCTGCTACCGTTATGCAGGTTTACTTTGGGGGTGATTTTGAGTGCCTCAGTGCATGCCTTTTTGCCTCTGTGCTTCCTTGGGATGTTGGCCTTCATCAGCTGCATGCGCAGGTTTCCACCCTTTCGACGACTTTGGTAGCTGGAGGACCCTTCTCGAGTCAACCCTTCTTGAGTTGTCCTTGAACTGGTTTAGGGAGGACGTGAAGGTGTTGAATGCCTGACCTTCGTCAGGGGTGTTGGCCTCGGTGGCCAGAGCGTGGACTGCGCTGTTGAAGCTACAGGGTATTTGCGCCGATACTCCAGGAGGCAGTGTGTGTCTGTTCTTTGCTTCTCACCTCGCGTGTCATCAGGCCATCCTCACTCTCTCCTAGGAATCCACTTGGGCCTGGCTCTTAGATTTTCTTCGCCTTTTTGTCCGTTGATGTTTGTGGACAGTGCAGTGACTCAGTTTCTGTTGGCAGCCTCATCAAGTTGCCATCCTCTTTCAGAGTTGTTGGTTCTCCAGGGTGGCCATTCTCTGGCCTCCTGGATGGGTCGTGCCAGGGCTCGAGGTGGACCCTTGGTGCCAGTTTCATAGCTGGCGTCGTTTGGTCGGCTCAATGCTCGCTCTGTTCGCCGGGCCAGCCTCTCGTAAGGGGCATCGGCCCTTTCGCGGTTAGCCCCGTTGACGTGGCGTTAGGGGGGGGGGAAGGCTGGCTTTGTTTGCCAACACTTGATCCCATGATTCATGGCCGTATCGGATCGTGTTGGAGGCATTGGGCAGCTCCTCCCTTGGGGGGTTTGGGGCTGGCGGGGGTAGGCTGCTTCTCTTTCGCTCCATCTAGTCGTCTTGGAGTGGGTGTGCTTGGGCTTGGTGTAAACGACTCGATCCCTCAAGTGAGTTTCCCACTTGTTTCCAGTACTGAAACGGGACTATGCAGATCTTCGGTTCATTCTGGACTTGTCCCGTCTGAACTGCTGGATTCCTTGCCCTTCCTTTCAGGTGACCACTCTGTCCCAGGTCTGGTTTCTCTTGTAGCTGGGTTGTTGGATGGACCTCTGGGACCTCCAGGATGCGTATTGGCACATCCTGATTCATCCGGGGTTTAGGGACTGGTTAGGTTTCATCATAGGGCAGCGTGCTTACTGCTTTCGTTGCCTTCCGTTTGGCTTGAATCTAATACCTCGCTATTTCATGTGTCTTACCCGGGTCGTTGCTGTGGCTACGGTCCCGCCTTCAGCTGTTCTTGGGGGGGGTCCTGGGTCAATTGGCGGTTACTCAAGCAGTTGTGTGGGAGTTTGAACTTAGCCATGCTGGTTTAGTCGCCAGGTTGGATCTAGTTTCGGTGGCTGCTCTGGTTCCTTCGGTGACGTCTCTTCCGCCTCTCTCGCGACCGCTGGGTTCACACCCCATTGGGTCTTGCGTCGATTGCTGCATCGCCAGCTTCCTCTTCTGGTTTTTCGGGGTTCACTGCCTTGGCGCCTCCCCAAGCCTTCACTTGATGTGTTCACAGATGCCTTCTCTCTCGGCTGAGGTTTTGTGACCTGTGCTCACCAGGCCGGCCAGGGGCGATGGGCTTTGTCCTTCCGTCAGGTTCACAGCATGGTGCGGGAGTTTGTGGTGTATTGGCTTTCGCTGCAGAGGGTCCAAGCAACAGCCTAGTTGACAAAACTCACTAGTCAGGCCGGGCTTGGGCAGTAGAAGAACTTCCAGAACCCCATCAAGCAGGTATCAAGCAGGGTTCGGGACGCTCGGGGCTCTTCGATCCGGCTCCATTCAGACTGCACTCTAGTGGTTCATTGTCTGAACCGCAGGGGTTCCCTTCGGTCCTTGGCTCTTTGGAATTAAAGGAATTATTAATTGTAACCTGTGATAGAATGAGAAAGTTTTCCACCAGTCTGTGGACTGTCCCAACATCGTAAGCTTGTGGACCACTTGTGTGGTCCACTTGTCCACTTGCGTATGATCCAACTTGTCATATGGAGGAATCATTAATTGTAACCAGTGATAGAATGGGAAAGTTTTCCACCAATCTGTGAACTCTGTCCCAACATCGTGAGTAAATCCAAACATCCCCCGCTTTGGCGAAACATTGTTTGTCGAAACGGGTGAGTAAATCCGGCCTGAAAAGTGTGCAACCTAGCCGGAGATTTGTTGAATCGGGGATTCAAATATGTACATGTTATTATTTAGCGTTGATAGTATTACAGAAGACCCCTGACTGTGATAAAACTGACCAGGATGTTGATAATAGCAGGATTGTGATGATATTTAGCGCTGTGCTCCATGGTGGGAGGAGTAATGTTGAGGGAGGGAGGGAGGGAGAGAGGGAGGTGGCATTGTCTTCTGACTGTGTGTGGCCACCTTTTATTTGACTGGACTTACCACACCAGCTTAGTGGTTCACTATGGTGAACACAAATGTAGATACTTGTATATAACATGTGTATAGAGTGTAATAACAGCAATAGGAGTATGTTGGGAGCCGCCATTTTGGTGAGGGAGGTTCGTCGTCTGCATGACATGTCATGTTGTTTACTGGTGGCCACAATGGTCTTTGGGTACCATACCATCTTATTTGTACAGGTATGATGAATAAAATATGTAGATACTTGTATATAATGTGTGTATAAAGTGTAATAACACCACAAACAATATTGTTGGAGGAGAAATAGTGCATGTGGCCTTGAACTAGTGAGGGCAGCAGCCACCAGCTGATTGTGTTTGTAGCTATGTCTCTTATCGCCTGAACTCGCCATACAAGCTTAGATGTACAGTTATGGTGAACAAAACATGTAGATAATTATATATAACGTCTGTGTATAGTGAATAAAAGCAAAAACAGTGTGGTTGGAGGAGTATGTTGGTGAGTGAGGGAGTGGTGGTGAGACTGGCTGGTGAGTGAAGGCCACTCTTCATTGCTTTTTGACTCACAATACCAACTTAGTGGTTCGTTATGGTGAACAAAACATTCAGATACTTGTATATAACGTGTATATAGTGTAATAACAGCAAAACTATTTGTTTATTGTTTTATGAACATAATAATTGAATCACTAATATGCACACCATAGTTTTGAGTACAGCAATGGTTCACACATTTTATTATATAAATATACCACAATTCATTGTATGGAATAATATTACTGCAAAAAAACTAAGAAAAAATCAATCAGAGACATTTAAATAATTAGGTAATAATATCTTTGTGGCAACCCTCGCCTGACAGCTGGGGCAGAGCAGACCTCGTGTGGCGCCTGCTCTGTCAACTCCTTTTTTTCTGTCAGACTTCCTTGCCCTATTGTGGCCAAAATATGCCACCTACGATTTCTTTGTTATTTTTCCCGTGATCAGGGAACACAAATGAACACTTTTATTAGACAAAAGAATTTTTTAGATTTTTGTTGTTGTTGCGCCTGTGGGTGTTGAAGGCAAAAAGGCCCTTAGCCGCCTAAGGGTTAAGCAGGTTGGGCACTACAACCCGTCCTCTTAAAAATAACGTCACTTTTGGCTCGTATGCGCGCTATGGCCAAATTTGGACGTAATTTGAAATGAAATTGACTCACAAAAGTGACGTACTGTTTCGTTTTCTGTTTGAGTCGTCCGGCCGACTCTGTAAGGTTAGAATAGATGACTTTCAATTCACGTTTTTCATAACGTTTTGAAACTTTATGAGAATTTCCTGCCCACCTAACCTATCAGAGGACCCTTAACTTACTGTTGTTGAAAAAAAAAATCCCAAATTTATTTTCATTTTTTTTCATTTTCAAATTACGTCCAAATTCGGCCATACGGGCAAACGGCCAAAAGCGACGTTCTTTTTAAGAGGACAAGTTGAAGGGGGCCAGGTTCTGGCTCGTGGTCCCTGGTAGGCATAAGAACTCCTGTGACTGATGATCCCAAACTAACATAGCACATATCAGTTCGGATAGCACTGTGGAGAAATGCTCGACAGACCACTGGAATATTATCTAACACAGTGCATAGTTACAAACCCATTATGATTTCAACTTAGATTCAACAGAGCAGAAGAAGTTCTTAAACACGTGGGACAAAATCTTACTGAAGCGACCATATGAGTCATAAATACTCATACTCCATCCAAGTAAAACAGAAACGCGCAACACTTAGTGGGCCAGCCAGAGGCTTAGGGCCCGCGCAGGAATATCCCTGAAAAAAAGAAGTTCGGATAGCTTCAGGGAGTCTCAGGGGCTTGCCCAGAAAATGGCGCTTCATTACATTCAGTGCTGGTTTGTATAGCATGCATTTGCAGTACTCAACATGGCTGACTGTATATTTCAGATTTATAAGAATTTCTTAGCTGTATTTTTCTGCAAATGGGAAAGTTATTGCGTAGTTTGAAGCTAAGCATTATTTATTGATTCACGAGTTGCATGTACGAGCTCAAGAGCCTTGATCGGTGTCTCAAGACTCGATTTTTGTAATTTGTAAACTTTACTGTACATAATTATTAATTCCTGGTTTGCCTGATTTATAGAGCAGTGATACAGTGGAAAGGTGTAATATGAGAGTAAGTGCATCATAAGGCTGAGTGGTGAGTGTTAAGACAGTACAGTATTGTGAAGTAGATTGAATGCATCATGAATGTTGAGTGATTCTGAGAGTAGCTGGAATTAAAAACCGGGAAGATGGGTACATTGGTACATCATCTTGGCAGGGATAGTCTGCCAGTAGTAGTCCAGTCAACAGTCACCTAGGGGTAAAAAAGGTATTATGCTTCTATTCATATTATATATAATCATATTTTGTCCTACATAAAGTATCTATAGCTGTACTAGGTAATGTGTTTTTGTTTATTAATAACATATTAAATGGCAGTTTAAGCATTTACTGAAATTTATAAGGAAATGAATTTGAAAATCTTTATATTCGGTGATTTTCATCAATTTTTTTTACAGCTACTATTCGGCCTGAGAACGCTGTTCAGAAGCAGACGTTGAGTGAGTTTGGGCAGTACGTAGCAGAGTGTCTACCTAAATATGTCCAGAAGGTGAGAAAAACTTTTGCTACATTTCTAGTTGTTGATTTTACCTCATCAGGTTTGCAGTTGTATGCAGTGTTGCATGCAGATGCCTCCTCTTCACCAAGCAAGACGTGAGCAAGCCTCCAAGATCCAGGGTGCACTTTACTGTATAAGGGGGGGGTCCGACTGTTGGTATCTTGCAACTTCCCATTCAAGATGCCTAACAGTGCACAAGCAGCAAGGACCTATAAGAGAACATATAATCTCTATAAAAAAACAGATAATCACCAGAGATATATTCACAAATAACACCAAAATAATCGACAGATACAGCGACAACAGACAACTGGACATTTGCGAGGCATTATCCATCTAACAAACCAAGTCATGTATTAATTAATAGCCAACTAGCACAAATTACACTTTGCCAACTTCCAGAACACAAGGAACATATAACATACTGTACCTGACATCATGCAAACAGGAGAGTGACAAGATAAAATGGAGCTATAAGTGAGGTGCCTTACCTTCACCCTCATTCCTTTCACCTCATCACCTTCACCTCATCCTTGGGTACATATCGTGCAGCAAGAAACTTTGCAATCATTCGAACTCTGCATTACAGTGTTAGTAAGAGTTAACGAAGCCTATCTCTTGGCGTCATGTCAAATAAAACTGTAAAAAACTTTGTAGAGTTAATTTTTCAACTTTCTTCTCAAGTGAAGAAAAATGTAAGTAAAATAGAAAAGATTCGCACTAGAATCGTTGATCTCACTCTTTCGGTCACCTTCAGTAAAATATGAATAATAAAATAAAACAAAACTTATGATTCAGTCTTTCTATACATTCCCAGGAAAATAAAGGTTGAACATCCTTGGATTTTGGTTTAGGATAATTGATTGTTGTTATTAAGTTAGTCTGAGATGCTGAAGTTCCATTAACTGGCTTTCTCGCCCTGCGTACTTTACATGCTTGATGTTTACTTTCTTGCGGAAATACTTGGCCTTCTCCATGAGCAAACAAACCATGGCATTGGCATATCTGGGATGGACTTGTTAGTTGTAATGTCCCAAGCTTATTTCTAGTACTGTACCAGCAAGCTTAGCCCTACATATGGCAGAGTACTGGGAAGACGAGACACCATGAGCATTGCTCTCATCCTGTAACAACACTAAAAGTACAGTGCATCCTCACTCTAATGAACCTCGCTCTAACGAATTCCTTGATGGTCCGAATGAATTGCATTCGGTACTAATTGTTCAGTGGCACATAGAAATGTTCGATTAAATGAGGATTGTTTGTCCAAGCCGTCACCGAGACCGTGCATCAGAAGGTGGCTGTCATCAACTATGATTCACCTATGTGTAAACACTTATAGTGTTTTATTTTGCTTCCCCATTTTTTTTTTTTTTCGAGAGGGTTGAAGGATGATAAAATGGTATGGGAGAGGCAGGTGGTGTCATTGGTGAGGGTTGGTGTCAGGGGCAGGCGGTGTTAGTAGTTGGGGTTAAGTATCAGGGGCAGGTGGTGGAAGTTATTATCATGGGAGGCAGGTGGAGTTAGTGGTGGGAGTTGTTGTCAGGGGAGGCAGATGGTGTCAGTGGTGGGAGTTGTCAGGAGAGGCAGGTGGTGTCAGTGGTGGAAGTTGTCAGGAGAGGCAGTGGTGGAAGTTGTCAGGCGAGGCAGTGGTGGAAGTTGTCAGGAGAGGCAGGTAGTGGTGGAAGTTGTCAGGAGAGGCAGTGGTGGAAGTTCAGGCGAGGCAGTGGTGGAAGTTGTCAGGAGAGGCAGGTAGTGGTGGAAGTTGTCAGGAGAGGCAGTGGTGGAAGTTGTCAGGCGAGGAAGTGGTGGAAGTTGTCAGGAGAGGAAGTGGTGGAAGTTGTCAGGAGAGGCAGGTAGTGGTGGAAGTTGTCAGGAGAGGCAGTGGTGGAAGTTGTCAGGAGAGGAAGTGGTGGAAGTTGTCAGGAGAGGCAGGTAGTGGTGGAAGTTGTCAGGAGAGGAAGTGGTGGAAGTTGTCAGGAGAGGCAGGTAGTGGTGGAAGTTGTCAGGAGAGGCAGTGGTGGAAGTTATCAGGAGAGGCAGTGGTGGAAGTTGTCAGGAGAGGCAGTGGTGGAAGTTGTCAGGAGAGGCAGGTAGTGGTGGAAGTTGTCAGGAGAGGCAGTGGTGGAAGTTGTCAGGAGAGGCAGTGGTGGAAGTTGTCAGGAGAGGCAGTGGTGGAAGTTGTCAGGAGAGGCAGTGGTGGAAGTTGTCAGGAGAGGCAGGTAGTGGTGGAAGTTGTCAGGAGAGGCAGTGGTGGAAGTTGTCAGGAGAGGCAGTGGTGGAAGTTGTCAGGAGAGGCAGTGGTGGAAGTTGTCAGGAGAGGCAGTGGTGGAAGTTGTCAGGAGAGGCAGTGGTGGAAGTTGTCAGGTGAGGTAGTGGTGGAAGTTGTCAGGAGAGGCAGTGGTGGAAGTTGTCAGGTGAGGCAGTGGTGGAAGTTGTCAGGAGAGGCAGTGGTGGAAGTTGTCAGGAGAGGCAGTGGTGGAAGTTGTCAGGAGAGGCAGTGGTGGAAGTTGTCAGGAGAGGCAGTGGTGGAAGTTGTCAGGTGAGGCAGTGGTGGAAGTTGTCAGGAGAGGCAGTGGTGGAAGTTGTCAGGAGAGGCAGTGGTGGAAGTTGTCAGGTGAGGCAGTGGTGGAAGTTGTCAGGTGAGGCAGTGGTGGAAGTTGTCAGGAGAGGCAGTGGTGGAAGTTGTCAGGTGAGGCAGTGGTGGAAGTTGTCAGGAGAGGCAGTGGTGGAAGTTGTCAGGAGAGGCAGTGGTGGAAGTTGTCAGGAGAGGCAGTGGTGGAAGTTGTCAGGAGAGGCAGTGGTGGAAGTTGTCAGGCGAGGCAGTGGTGGAAGTTGTCAGGAGAGGAAGTGGTGGAAGTTGTCAGGCGAGGCAGTGGTGGAAGTTGTCAGGCGAGGCAGTGGTGGAAGTTGTCAGGCGAGGCAGTGGTGGAAGTTGTCAGGCGAGGCAGTGGTGGAAGTTGTCAGGAGAGGAAGTGGTGGAAGTTGTCAGGAGAGGTAGTGGTGGAAGTTGTCAGGAGAGGCAGTGGTGGAAGTTGTCAGGCGAGGCAGTGGTGGAAATTATCAGGAGAGGCAGTGGTGGAAGTTGTCAGGCGAGGCAGTGGTGGAAGTTGTCTGGCGAGGCAGTGGTGGAAATTATCAGGCGAGGCAGTGGTGGAAATTATCAGGAGAGGCAGTGGTGGAAATTATCAGGAGAGGCAGTGGTGGAAATTATCAGGAGAGGCAGTGGTGGAAGTTGTCAGGCGAGGCAGTGGTGGAAGTTGTCAGGCGAGGCAGGTTGCATTAGTGGTGAGCATCAGGGAAGGAGTGTGGTGTCAGTAGGGGTTATAAAAGACTCATCCAGCACATCAACTGTGATCAACTGACTGGCAACACATGGCTGGTGCCGCTGCCTCCTCAATGCTTCACTCGTCGCTTTTCACCAAAATAGCTGAGAAAATTACCATTTCACTTTTTTGTAACACATTGCCCTTAACATATTCCATAGTCAAAATGAAGAATTACAGTAATAATTTTGTTGTATTTATTTATTTATATATACAGTACCAGAGTTCATGTATTCTTGTACAGCTAATAGCACGCATAGCAATTCGGGCAAATGGTGGAGTCAGTAATTACCTAAGTGTAATTACCTAAGTGTAGTTACAGGATGAGAGCTACGCTCGTGGTGTCCCGTCTTCCCAGCACTCTTTGTCATATAACGCTTTGAAACTACTGACGGTCTTGGCCTCCACCACCTTCTCACTTAACTTGTTCCAACTGTCTACCACTCTGTTTGCGAAGGTGAATTTTCTTATATTTCTTCGGCATCTGTGTTTAGCTAGTTTAAATCTATGACCTCTTGTTCTTGAAATTCCAGGTCTCAGGAAGTCTTCCCTGTCGATTTTATCAATTCCTGTTACTGTTTTGTATGTAGTGATCATATCACCTCTTTTTCTTCTGTCTTCAAGTTTTGGCATATTGGTGAAGGGCTTGTATTAGGGGGTGGGTAGGTAGCTAGCCTCTACCCAATTGGTCTTCAATCAATTGGTTGATTGGTCTTCTAAAATAATAATTTTTGCCTCTGCTCTTTACAGTTGCTGTCTTCTCGAATCGGCTTAAATACAAAACATATCCACCTTGAACCTTAGTCCTGGCTTTGTTGCTGTTGACTCTTCCCTTTCACAGTACTGTACATAGTCAAATGCTCCAACCTTCTTAGCAAACGTGATCTGACTTAACCACTGCACTGCGCAGATTGCCATGAGGTGCTGAATCGAGTGTGTGGAGAGTGCCATGTGGCATATGTAGGTATAGGGAGCGATTCAAAACTCCCACAGGTACGCAGGGCTCACATCCTGTGCCTCAGGACTCCTGTAAACAGATGCTATCTTGAAAAAAAAATTAGTCGGCATCCATGCTGGCTGTGAGAGCCTTAGTACTGAGAGAGCGACCAAGGCTGGTGCATGCAGGAGCCGTGCACAGCTAAGGGCCACAGCGCCACTTAGTAATAATGAATAAAATAGATAACTGAAATTATTTTGCATTGATAGTGTTATAGATGATCCTGACTGTGATAGAGACTATGTACAACGTTCAGATATCAGTGAACACAATGTTAGTTGATATTCACAGCTTGAGGTAGAGACACACAGCACCCAGCCATTGTTTCCTGCATCTACGTATCCTGAAACGACCTGGTGTTCCGTCACCCATGTTCATTTTGTTATGGTAATGGATTCATATTTGGGATTTTGTGACAAATGTGATAATAACAGTAGTTTTGTAGCTGGTCATAGCGAGATGTGAATAATATTGGAGGCATTGTCTTGCATCATGTGACTGCTGGCGTCTTCTGCTTGTGGCTCCGTGCTGTGTTGTGATTTAGACACCATACCCACCAGAACTGCTGTTGTAGCATAATAACAACAGGAACACTGGTTGAACTAAGAATAGAATATATGTATCACCATATATGAGCTCCATATTTTTGAGAATAGCAAAGTTCCACACATTTAACTATATTCATATTTATTACACACTATTGAATAATATTACTGCAAAAAACTAGATATAAACCACTCACAGACGTTGAAATAATTATGTTAATATGTATTTGGGGCAGCCCCTGCCTGCCACACTCGGCGGTCGGCCGCTAGGCTGACCGTGGATTCTTGTTCTGTGTATATAAACTCTCAACACACGATCTTTGTGGTTCATTATGGTGCACAAACATGTAGATATGTACTGTATTTGTATTATTTCAATATTACAGTATTATTATTATTATTATTATAATTGGAGACATTTACTACAATGCTTTAGTGCTTTAGTGCAGGGAGCCGGTCGGCCGAGCGAGGGAGCCGGTCGGCCGAGCGGACAGCACGCGGGACTTGTGATCCTGTGGTCCTGGGTTCGATCCCAGGCGCCGGCGAGAAACAATGGGCAGAGTTTCTTTCACCCTGCGCCCCTGTTACCTAGCAGTAAAATAGGTACCTGGGTGTTAGTCAGCTGTCACGGGCTGCTTCCTGGGGGTGGAGGCCTGGTCGAGGACCGGGCCGCGGGGACACTAAAAGCCCCGAAATCATCTCAAGATAACCTCAAGATTGAATGAAGGTGAAGGAAAGACTCAATTTATGTTTAAGTGTATTAAAATCAGATTTTCTGATGTAACCAACATTCTTTCTCAAGGTGGTGAGAAAGTAGTATATACAATGTTCTGCTTGAACATTGTTCTGTATGCAATGTTCTGCTTGAACATTGTATTCAGCACCTTGAGAAAGGATGTAAGTTATACCCAAAAATTTAGTTTTAATACACTTGAGCATAAATTGGGTCTTTCCATCACCTTTATTATAATGAGTGTGATTATTATTATTATGCACAGTGAAATAACATTGACATGATGTATTACTGAGAATGTATCAATCAGTAGGAGTCACGAGGAGGAGTCAAACCAGCACACTTTGGTACTCCCAAGCACACCCCCTAAACTGCTACTGATTTTCTCCTCTAATTCATTGATTACTAAACAATAATAATAATAATATTTGTTGTTGACTGTTGATACTCTTGCATCTTCAGGTACAGATCACAGCTGGAAATGAACTGGAAGTGTTGATAGCTCCTGAAGGAGTGGTTCCTGTTATATCCTTCCTGAAAGATCATACTAATGCCCAGTATACATCCCTGTCTGACCTCTGTGGCGTTGACATTCCTACCAGGGCTTACCGCTTTGAGGTAAGGCAAGGAGAACGCTTATATATATAGTATAACATATTGTAAGGCTTTTATTTGGGTGTAGGCCTATAGAATTTGTATCGCTAGCACTTCGTAGGAGATTGATATGTTTGTCATGATTAACAATGGCTTCCATTCTTGAAGCATTTGTTATCCAGCAAGAGACACTTGTTAATAAGTGCAACATTTTTGTCCCATTAGAAAATAGGGTTGCTAAGAGCAACATATCTTATCCAAAAAGAGAACATGGGTTGCTAGGGGGAACATTATATTTCTGTTCTTATACTTAGGATTTGGTATTCATTAATATGATAAATATATACTTACATTATCCTTTTGATACTACAATGTACATCAAATTTGTAAAAACAATATATATTACATAAATAATAATTTATTTAGTATATTTTTAATATTAAAATGTTTTCTTTATAGGTGGTGTATAACCTTCTGTCTCTGCGTTATAATGCCAGGATCCGCGTAAAGACATACGCTGATGAACTGATGCCTGTGGATAGCATTTGTGATGTAAGCATTAGGGATTGGTCACTTTCTTCCATTTGACTATGAAATGAAAATGGTTTGTTTTGGGTAACTAATTATCTGTTATGTATACTGCACCCTTGAGAAACCAGACCTCTAAATAAATATTCAACTTTGCCTATAGATTTTTCTATAAAAAATTCAGATTTCTAAAAAACTAGTTTTTTTTTTTGGGGGGGGGGGGAGCCCTGTCGGCTTCCTGAAGCTAACCAAACTAATACGTATTAAATTAGTTTGGGGTCATCAATCATAAGGAATTCTTAGGCCTACTGGGGACCATGAGCCAGAACTTGGTCCCCTCAGAGAAGAGCAGGAAGCAATGGCATGTGAGCACTTGATATTTAAAGTACAGTATGTCATATTCTGCCATCAACCGGGACAGCTACACAGAAAGATAGGCGAACCAAAGCAAACAACCAGCCGGGAAAATTGCAACCTACAACCAGAAAGTGCAAACTCCTGAATGAATGAAACTAGTAAGCCTTATCTTCAACTAGTACTCCCGCTAATTAGACCCCCTCCCCCAATGAGGGGTAGCTGGGCCGGCTTCTCGCCACCTCAGTTTTTGTCTGATGTGTTTGGGCGTCCGCGGTCACCTCTGTTATCACTTTCCTGTTCTCGATTTTGCTGTGTGGCTGTATCAGCAATGTGTGTGGTGTGGTGGCCAGGTGTTTCTTGTGCTTAGAGCTGGATGTGCCTAGGGTGCCCTTCCCTGGGTGTAAGTACTTCCCTTGCATGCCAGTGTTCTCTTCCCAGGGCGTTCGGGACTTAGTCTTCATTGTGGGCTTCATCGCTTGATGTTGTCTTCACCGTTGGAGTGAGTCGGGGGTCTGGGGCTTTCCATCTAACGCCGGGTACGGGAGTGTTATTGGCTGGGGAAGGAGGAGCACTGTGGCTGGCATGGTCTGCTACCTATGCGACAGCCGACGTTTCTCTTTGGCTGCTTGTTTGCTTGGTGTGTCATTTTGGGGCTTGTTCTTTTTTCATTTTTGGGAATTCTTCCTATGTGGATGGAGGAGATCGGCTTAGCTGTTTATTAGGCAAGCCTAGGTTGTGGTGGCTCTCCACCTCCATTGCCCACGAGGTTTCACCACTGCTACTGGTAGTCAGTTTGCCTGTTTACAAGTAGGGGGTTCTACCGCTTAGCTTGCTTAAGTGCCTGGGCTTCCCATAGGGCTGACGTACCCTGGAAGCCAACCCTTGGGCTTGGTTGGTAACATGGCTTCGTCTGAGTCCACTCTTGCCTTATGTGATATTTACTGGCTATTCGTCGCTCCTACCTCAGGGAGACGATCACCCCTTCTGCCTCCGCCATGCTGCTTGTTGGGTCGGTGACACCTACGACCCGAAGTCTTGCAGGATTTGTTCCCATTCCTCAATCTCTCAAGATAACTTTCTTGCAAGGTGCCAGTTTGGTTGCCCGGTTGGATGCCCCCCAGAGCTGCTCCATTTGAGTTATAGGGCCCAGGCTTTGGGGGTGTTGGTTGCTTTGCCCTTAGTTATGTCCATACCCCCGCTTCCTTTCCGGGTGGGTGTACCTGGTTGATACCTGGTTGATGGGGTTCTGGGAGTTCTTCTACTCCCCAAGCCCGGCCCGAGGCCAGGCTCGACTTGTGAGAGTTTGGTCCACCAGGCTGTTGCTTGGAGCGGCCCGCAGGGCCACGTACCCACCACAGCCCGGCTGATCCGGAACTTCTCTTAAAAAACCGTCCAGTTTTCTCTTGAAGATGTCCACGGTTGTTCCGGCAATATTTCTTATGCTCACTGGGAGGACGTTGAACAACCGCGGACCCCTGATGTTTATACAGTGCTCTCTGATTGTGCCTATGGCACCTCTGCTCTTCACTGGTTCAATCTTGCATTTTCTTCTGACGTGTGGTTCGTCCCGCTTCTTCTTCCCCCTTCCCTGCTTCCAGCACCATACTGCTTGAGGGTTTCGGAGTCGGGGCGGGGTCTAAAATGGGATGAGGCTCGGGTGGCTGCCCCTTCTGATTCTGGCACAGAGGTGGTCGAGTTCATTCTTCCCGCTGAGGCTTCTGGTTCTTACCAGCTGCCTTCCTTCTCAAAAGCCTTTCCCCTGGACTCTGCCTTTTCTTCAGAGGTGGTGAGCATGGAAGAGGGCTCTGCCCCGTGGCTTGGGGGTAGTCCGCTTGGAGAGCTTGGGCTCATTTTGCTCCTGCTTGGGCCCTTGTGCCTGCTGGGCTTGGGTTGTTGCAGCAGGGAAGGGAGTTTTCATTCCCCTACTTCCCTTCTGCATTAGTTTTACCTTATTTGCTGGTGATATTTACATACTCTCGGTCATTCTCCGATCTGCAGTTTCATTGCTTTGGTGGACAATTTCCTGGACCGGCATCTCATGCCGAATGCTGTCACTTCTTATCGTGTGGCATTGGTGGAGCCACTCCAGCTTGCGTTAGGGGTGGATGTCATTTCTGCTCCATTCCGCAAGTTCTCTCGTGTGTTTTTTCACCTCCGGCCAGTTCATATGCCGCCTGAGCCATCCTTTTCTTCAGACCAGGTGCGCTCTCTTCCTCTCGGTTTGTTGTGGTACCTTCGGTTCAAGATTGTTTTGTGAAAGCCTTGTTTTTGATGACTTTGGCCTGTGGGGGTCAGGTGGGGAAGCTTAATGCACTTTTCTGGCACTGGGGGGTTCTGTTCTTTTGGGGTTATGGGTCATTTTGTTCGTTTGCAGCCCTCTCCTTCTTTTCTGGTGAAGTATAAGACAGCTGGCTTTCAGAGGTGTCCGTTGGTTGTGGATGCTTGGTTGGTTCAGCCGGGGAAAACGTCATGTGTTATGTCCGGTGGCGGGTTTCCATCACTACCTGCGGGGGGCCACTAGTTTGTTGGCGGTGGGTGCGCTCTGGGTGGATCTGATTTCTCTGGTTCCCTGTTCCAGGGCTCGTGTGTCTCAGGTTGTCTGCGGTGTAATCAAGTCTAGCCAGCCTGCGGTCTGCCCTCGTGCCCATGATGTGAATAAGTACAGTATGAGGCTTTGGCTGCTGTTTTTGGTAATATGTCTTGGATCGACATTCGGGCGTGGGGGTTTTGGAGGTCACACAGGATCCTGGCCGCTGGGCATCTCGTGCACATTCCGGGCCCCCTCTGGCCTTGTGTTGCTCTGGGGCATCTGTTGTGACCTGTTATCTCTTCTTCGTCTTAAGACCTGCGGTGCTGCCGCCTCCTGGGTAATTCCCTGCTTTTACTTATCTGTGGGTAGTTAGCTTCAGGAAACCGACGGGGCTCCCCACAGAAAACAGGAGTTGAATGTAACGAAACACCATTTTCTAGGCAAGCCCCGGAGGCTCCCCGACACCCTTCCTCCCTCCGGTCGGTTGGCGGTTTTCATCATTCTAGAACTGTGGTGGTGAGTCGCCAGCTCCCTCTGTTCCTTGACGCTGCTAATGAGTAAGTGCACTAATTGGATGATATTTTGCTTGTTTTGTTTCCTTTTTGGGGAGTTATATTGCCTAGTTCGGTCGTAGGTTGCACTGTTCACCAGCTTGACGTTTATTTTGTTTTGCCCATCTTTCTAGGTGTCCTTCCCTGTTGATGGCAAGTATGACACACACTAAATGTAAGAGTGGTCATAGGCCATCGCTTCCGGCGCCTCTCTGAGGGGGACCAGCTTCTGGCTCGTGGTCCCCGGTAGGCATAAAATACTCCCTGTGACTGATGACCCTAAACTAACCTTGTCCATATCAATAAGATAGCTTCAGGGAGCCTCTGGGGGCTCGCTCAGAAAATGGTGTTTTATTCTATTCAACGCTGGTTTTTGAGCACGATAATGATCTCTGATAGTCCTATGATGACCCCCTTCTAGCACTATAATGCCCTTCTTGTAGCACTATAATGACCTTCTTGTAGCACTATAATGACCCATTATTTCCCTGTAATGATCCCTTACACCTGTATAATGATGCCTTTTATGGTACTATTATGGGACCCTTCTTGCATTATAATGACCCACTTGTAGCACTATAATGACCCTCTTGTAGCACTATAATGACCCTCTTGTAGCACTATAATGACCCTCTTGTAACACTATAATGACCCATTATTGCCCTGTAATGATCTCTTACAGCTGTATAATGATGCCTTTTATGGTACTATTATGGCCCCTTCTAGCACTATAATGACCCCTCATAGCAATGTAATTATGACTTTTAGCACTATAATGACCCCTCATAGCTTATAATGACCTCTCATAGCAGTACAATAATTCTCTCATATCATGAAAATGAACTCTTATTTGAAAGCATAACAGTTACTCAGATCAAATCAAAAGCACAGTGAAAAGCTGTGTACCTCGGGGCACAGTCCTTGCACCACTGCTCTTCCTTAGTCCCATATCAGATGTAAATAAAGATACAAGTCACAGCTTCATGTCGTCTTTTGCAGATGACAAAAAATTATCATGAAAATTGCTTTTGTAGAAGCCATTGGAAAAACTGCAAGCTGATATTAATGAGGTTTTTGACTGGGCAGCAGAAAATAACATGTTTAACAATGATAAAGTACCAGGTACTTAGGTATGGTAAAAATGAAAACATTAAATTAAACACAGTGTACAAAATACAATTAAATCTTCTCATATTAAGCTAGAAAATTTATACGATGGATTACATGAACTTTCAAATCCAAGGATCCCATCGCAATGCTCATACTATTCAAATCACTGGAGCTGTCCCACCGCTTAATTACTCACTTCCCTCTTCAGAACAGGAGAGGTTGCTGAAATGGAGGAATACAGAGACGTGATAGTATGGCAAGCATAGACACGATAAAGCATCGTAAATTACAGTATTGGGATCGTCTTAGAGATGACCCCAATAATTTAGGTGCTTTATCGTGTCAAATCTTGCCATATATATTTATTTGATATATCTTTCATATATTTGATAACTCTTTCATCTAGAAAGGAAATGAGGGAGATATCAACATATTAATGGAAAATACCAGAGGCCAGGTTCCAGATTTACAAAGTAAAATAATAACATACTGATGTGAAT